GAGATCAAATTGAGATGTTAAGGTGCTTTTTCATGCGCAGCACGCTGCAGCAGCAATTCGTTACTATTGGTTAAGAATTTTATGTAAGCTAGACGACGCACTTCCTGCGCAAAATACATTTTGCCGCAGTTCGTTGAAGTTGAACCGAACGAACAGCAAACAGCAAGCGGCAAAATCGAGAAAGCGTACAATATGTCCGTCGTTTCATTATGAAAATATTATTTATTCCAATAAATATTAGGAAAATAAACGAAAAATGGCTTCGGATAAGGTACGGATACATGTTCGTAAATTAGATCATTTTATACTTTATCACAAATTTGAAAAAGTAAAGTGTAAAGTATAAAATGATCTAATTTACAAACATTCGTACCTTATCCGAAGCCATTCTTCGTTTATTTTCCTAATATTTATTGCAATAAATAATATTTTCATAATGAAACGACGGACATATTGTACGCTTTCTCGATTTTGCCGCTTGCTGCTTGCTGTTCGTTCGGTTCAACTTCAACGAACTGCGGCAAAATGTATTTTGCGCCGGAAGTGCGTCATCTAGCTTACATAAAATTCTTAACCAATAGTAACGAATTGCTGCTGCAGCGTGCTGCGCATGAAAAAGTACCTTTATGCGTTTGATATACTTTGGTGTATAGGCTAACGCGAATCAATCTCGTCGAATACTATAACCCACCACGATTCATCCATTTACCGGTGTGGATACCTGTTGTATAAGAACAATATACAATTTTAACTGATGATATAAAATTTTAACATGTTTAGTTTAAATTACGTTTCATACATTCTATAGCATTGTTTCTCGTGGATATCTGTTCTCCGTGATGGACGAACCACCTGAAAAATTACCGTGCAACACGCTAACGTAAGTCCATGGTTATAGCTTGTTTCATTTTTTTTACAATAGTTTATTTTTATAATAGTTAAAATAATTAACTAGAGTTATTAGCACTAGATTTAATTGGCACTGCCTAATGTAAAGAAGTTGTTATTCTACTTTTTATACTTTATATGTATATGTTATACTTTTTTTTAAATTTTAATTTTGAGAACTTTGAAAAAATAAATTTTAAATTTAAATCTTTATTGAGGTAAAATTATTTCATTTGTTTCATAGAAAATTATAATTGAAGTGTGCAAGCGTTTAATGATAATTAATTAAATAAACATTGATTCTTTACTAACAGAGCCAAAGAATTGTTATGCAATAAGGGTATCAGTAATTGCTTATTAGAAAAATGGGAAAAGTCTTTAAAAACTTTGCCTAAAAGTGGAAAGAAGCATTTTGAACCTGATAATTCTTGGCTTCAAAATATTCAGATTGAAAAAGGACTTAAAAATCGTAAAGATTTGTTAAATATTGAAAGAGTTGAACGTATCTCAGAACTAGCTACTGCTGAGTGGTTACCATCCCAAAAGCGAGCTCGTGTTACTAAAAGGTCTGGTCAAGATTGGAGCAACTTTGGTCTCGAGAAAAATGGTTCCTTATATTTGCTACCAGAAGAAGCATTATTTCTCATAGAAACAGTATGTTTTCTATAATTTATATATTTTTTAATAATGTTTCATTATAATTGTATTTATATTTAATGTTATATGTATTATAGAATTTTTTTTATGTATTATAGAATTGCATTGAACTTATTTGGAATGGATTATCATGCTCAATTCAACAAGCATATGAAATCTTGATTGATGACTCAACATGTACCCTGGAAGAGTACAGAGTTTACAGTCAATTAACACGTTATGGCTACCGTATACAGCGCTACTTTTATGAAGAGATAGATAAGTGCAATAGATCAGATGAGCTTATTCCTATTAAACGGAAAATTATTGTTGATCCTGAGAACGGATTGAGAATGTCTGATCAACCACAGAATAAGCAAAATGCAAAGAAATCAAAACTAATTTTAACAAACAATGTGCCGGAAATATCGAATAAATCTATTAATCTTAATGTGGAAGACCATGAGAAGACTGCTGGACAAGAATTTGTAAAACAAATAGTATCTGATCTAGTAGACCAGGTTATATCCAATATAGTGAAACATCATGAAAATGCACCAACTACTTCCGAAGTAGTAAAAAATAATGTGACAGAAAAGATTGTAATAAACAGTGAAGAAAAAAATCGACATTCTAAACTAGAAATAATTTCCGATGAAACTTTGTTAGGCAATATCAAAATTCTCAGAGATACATCGTGTAAAGTATCATGGCCAGGTGCTCGCATTCAACGTAATGTAAAACAGTTGCCTAAAAGGAACGATAAAATATCATTTCCAGAAATTTCTATAATCGAATCTGACACCAGTGAAAATTCCAGATATCCAGAAAAGCGGAAGATAGTCTCGCAAATTAATGAGTTGCATGCAAAAAAGTCAAAGCATGAGGTAAGATATTCTCAAATATGCATAGTACAAAGCATTTGTCAAACATTTTTTTCTCCTTTTAATTAGGTGATTGAGTTATCCGATGATGAAGTTCAGGAATTACCACGTTGTATGACGAGAATGGAAATGTTAAATCTGCTACCAAATATTGCCTTTCAATCAGAAATAAACGAGAAAATTTCCAGGCGATATATACCACATAATGTAAGGCCTCAGAGGAGCACATATCAATACAATCGCACAATGATTTTAAATATGCAGGAAAACGACAAACTAGCGCGACAGAATTGCAAGAACGACACAACTAATGGGAGACAAAATCCAGGGAGTCACTCAAGGAGTCCTCTTGCTGTTAATAACAGAAATGCTCTTTTTCAAAATCAACGTTCAGTCTTGCGTAGTCCATCGCGATCTTTTTTTTCTGTAGACCAAATGCATGGAACAAATATTAACTTGCCGTATGCATATAGATTTCCATTCAATTATTTTCCAGACGTTTATCTACAGAATAGAATCACGCAGAATGTATTTCATAATTTATTTGTTGCTTTTGGCAATCATGGAAACACTGTTCAGCAAAGAAGTTTCACTATACAGATGAACAATTTTATGATACCGCCTATAGAAGGATATCGAGCAAGACATTTTTTTACGGAGAACCAACTTCGACACAATTTCTATCAGAATATTTTATGGCAGCAAAGATCTTGTCAACGAAGAATGATGGAAAACGCATCTATGCATGGCAATACACATTCTGTTGCAAGACGACGACACGATGATACTAATAATCTAGTTGGTCATGAAATTATTAATCGACCTTCCTTTACGACACGTTTAGGAGCTAGTTCATGGACAGAATTAAAGAAAAGGTGGTTTGAAGAAAAAACTATTACAATCGACGATGAAGATTGTAAAAACAAGAACGAAAGTGAGGAAGATTGCACCGAAGTGCAAGTTGTAAAGTTTCTTAATCCTTTGGTCAGTCCGAGAAACACATCTTCAATGGCAGAAATTTTCAGTAAACTCGCTATAATAAAATCAGCGCCAGAAAGGACTGTTAGAAGGAAAAAGAGTAAATATAAGATATCATATAATGTATATTCTTGTACACATCATTATAAAAAGGCAAATCCTGGTCAACCGTTGTATAGCTTGGTAGTGATAAGGTATTATTTGGTAATCAAAAAAGTATATTTCTATATAAATATTAACATCTAATAATTCCCAGTTTAAAAATTGCAGAAAAGAAGATTCGATCCTACAACCTGTTGAGTTGAATCGTCTGCAACAAGATGCAAAAGGTTCTCAAATAGTATTAGCACATGTGTCAATGTCAATATCATACATTCAGCCGGGTATTATAACGATGCCAAACATAATTTAACTTTTTTTGTTAGCTTAATAAACTTTTATATACTGATAAAAGATGCATGTAATACTTTTTTCATTTTTAATTTTAATAAAAAAGACTGGTTGAAATAAACATTGTAGGTAAAGACTTAGATCGAAACCTGTATGTATATATTAGGATGATAAATGACAATGTTGTATATGTATATATATGTATGTAACATATTATTTATTTCCTACAATTTTAGATAATAGAATTCGAATATCTGACATACATAATATATATATCGAACATTGTTTAATGTCATTTCAGTCGTAAGATAGTCTCGGGTTTTCTAATAATCGTAAACGAGATGATTGTTACTAATTTGTATCTAAATGCAAAGCGTAAACTGTCTAATTATAGATCTTAAAGAAAAGTAGAACTGGATATTATGGATTTATATTCGGAATGGATTCCAATCAAAATTATTCAGTTATTTCCTAAACTTTGATTTGCTGCATTCAGCAAAACTTAATAATTGATACCTGTTTCTATCAATTTTAGTTTAATTTTTATCTTAATTCAATTAACTTTTCATTTTCTAAGAATTGGAAAAGGATGTAAAGTTGATTCTCAATTTAACTAAAGTGATATTACTGCGGTAGTGAATATGTATGCGTCAATGCTGAAAATCTATCAGCGTCGCGGGGGGGACTACATACGCAGTATATAAATTTCACACAATATAATAAACATTAACATCTTGTTTTCTAGACTCGATTTGGCTTTACACTTTCCTCGATTTTTAAATCACACGAGTCAATTATTATTATCTTTCATTAGATGTAAAGTAAGTTGAACTAAAATTCAAGTTAATCTATATTGTTAAAAACGGATATGAGTAATCGCTCGGTGCTACTGATGTATTCTTCTAAATCTGAAATTCTGATTGGATGATCTAAAAGAATACACCAATAACAGCTAGTACTCAGTGAACTCTTTTATCTGATTGACATATTCCGTTCGTGAAATATTGATCAACCTATTGTGATTGCATCCATTATGTTTTCTGGAGAAAACGCCAATCGAAATCCATTCCGATTTATGTTTCATAATTTGTATCCTACAATCATTAATTTTATATGTCACACACACGCACACACAGCATGCATACGCACACATATCTACTGTGTTTACGGTGCGCATTGCGATTTGCGTTGTTCTTACTTTCACAGTGTGTTGTGTTGCGTTATGATACTGTGATATTTTGACAAGCGGCTGGTTTAAATTGAAAAAAATTAATGGAGAATCCAGTACGAAAGAAAACTCGGAAGGGAAAATGTAATGTACCCAAAAACAATGATAGTTCAACGCAGAATAATGAAAATACATTTGATTCGAGTACTTATCTAACCTACGATATTTTGAGAATTGTTGTTCAATATCTAAATGCCAAGGACCTAGCGAGCGCTGCAAGGGTGTGCAGGTACATATTGATAATGCATTAATGATTCTTGCTTGATGTAATTATAAACACTTATGTTTAATACAAGTAGAACGGTTATAATGTCTGTATCATGTTCGTGTAAGTGAATATGAACAAGATTTGACTTATATTCTGTTTACAATATTTTATTTTATGTTTTTAAACATTTCATTTTATGATAAAATTATTTATATATATTTCACATCACTATCTGTACTGCAAATACAAAGTACATATGTTATAAGCTGAACACAATATAAAAATTCAAGCTTAAAATTATTCTTTCCAGATCTTGGTTAGAAGCTGTGAATAATGAGAAACGGACACGAAGAGGCCCTTGTTGCTTTATACAACTTTACGAACCACAACGGTTGTTTGTTGATTTTTTAGGTAATGTCCAGAATCCACGAGTCAAACCATCAGTTGGTTTCTTTTTTATTCCTCATAATATACCACGCAATATAGAAGGTATATATTTAATATCTTTTATATTTTCTTATAAATAAGAGTATTATATTAGTGGACTAAAAAGACCACTACTTCAATAAGTAGCAAGTAAATATTTTATTTTAAATTGTTAAAATCAATTTTTGTTTATATTTAAGAAAACATAGAGGCTTTGCTACCTAAACATTGTGAGACTATAGTGTTATATAGTAAAGGTATTATTATGGATGAAGAGATGGAAGATCCATATCCATATATTGTATGCGCATTTTTACCACAAATCCCAAATGTGAGAATAAAATCAATTAAATTAGCAGAACATTATAACTTAATGAAAACACCTGAATATCAGGAAATAATGAACACAATTGTTGATCGTGAATCAGTATCAAATCATGAAACGTGTTTCATGTTATTCTCTAATATGGAAGGTTGTACCACAGCAATACGTTGGTCCGAAGTTATAGAAAAAAGGTACAATTTTATATTTAATCCAAGCAACACATACATCTAAATTTAGTATGTTCAACTGTTGCATAACAATGGCTGATACTTGATAACACATTTATTTTTTTTTGCATGTATTCAGCAAAGGAGATGAAATAGTTTCTGTATGGGGTGGTGTGTTGAAAGATCTTTATGTACAACGTACACACAGTGATAATTTAAACAAAAGACAAATGAGACGTAGATCACTTCGAAGAATGAATATACCATATTGTATTGCTGTCTTGATCACTGGTCCTATACAGACGTGGTCCATTATTTTAGAAAACCGTACAAAGGAGCAAGCTGAAGCAAGATTAAAGTTATTTAAGGATGAAGTGAAGTTAAAGAAACATTCCATAGGATTTATGTTTATATGCGTAGCTCGTGGAAATGACATGTATAATGAATCTAATGTAGAATCAACAATATTCAAAAAATTATTCCCCAAAGTACCTTTAGTAGGTTGCTTTGGTTATGGCGAATTTGGAAAATCCACCGTTTGTGAAATAAAGAAAGAAAGTAAGTAATCTCTCTCTTTCCTTTCTTAGTGAAAATAACTTATGATAAGTCAATACATAGATTTTTTCGTTTTAGAAAGAGACGAGGCTAGTTGGAGAACAGGAACTTGGACTAATGAATTCTGTACTGTATTTCTGATACTTACGTACGGTTGATGTTGTGAAAAAAGATACGTACGAGTGTTATGTGTTACAACATATTTTAACATTCGTGCATTATTAGATTTACCATAGATCTTATATTTATCAATATTTAATACTAAAGACCGTTATAATGTAAGAACATAACTAATATGAATATGAAGCCTATAACAGTCTAACTTGAATATTTAATTGCTTATATATATGTATAAAGTACCGTGATACTATCACGAATTAAAACAAATTAATAAATAAATTGAAAAATGTAAATAAAGGGCATAAGAGTCAAAAAATTAAAATAATTTTAAATGTCAAATTTTTAAAATATATAACATAGAATTTTAATAGATGTATGTTTAAATAAAATAGATGTTAACAATGTTGACATTATATGAAAATTTAAATCGATGTATGTTTAAACAAATAGATGTTGTTAACAATATTGACATTATATTACATTACATGTTTCGGCTTCTACATCGAGCCATCTTCAGATTTTTCTTATAAAATTGGATATGCAACGGACATACAAGATAGTAGTTCTCTGATGAATTATAATTTGAAAATCGATCGTTCTCAAGCAGTTGGCAAACTGAATGTAACAATTCCTCTTAAAACAATTCAACTGTGAAATGCAAGAAAAACATTGAGAACAACCTTAGATACAAGAATATATACAAAAAATGTGTCAAGTTATAACTCACCGAGAAAAATCCGTATATGTACAAATCAATAATAAAGTGTGTCAGAACGAAATTAAAAAATTATTTCTTCCGTATGGAAGAGTCAAGTAAGATGCGTGTGTACATTATAAAAGATAAACGTGGACTGAACAAAGGTAATTGTATGTCCATTTTGTATCCAATTTCATAAGAAGAAAAATCTGAAGATGGCTCGATGTAGAAGCCGAAACATGTAATGTAATATAATGTCAATATTGTTAACAACATCTATTTGTTTAAACATACATTTAAATTTTCATATAATGTCAACATTGTTAACAACATCTATTTTGTTTAAATATATATCTATTAAAATTCTATGTTATATATCTTAAAAATTTGACATTTAAAATTATTTTAATTTTTTGACTCTTATGCCCTTTATTTACAATACATTTTTCAATTTATTTATTAAAAAGAGTCCTTATACATATATTTTTACAAATTAATAATTAATTAATTAATATATAATACGTAGTCCAAACTGCGCGCCAAACAATCGTCGGTCTTAAATATTGTTTACACGCCTGAAAGAAAACGTTTATTGCTTCACATATATACCAGTTATTGCGAGGAATATTACTAAGGCTTCGGTAGTCTAATTGGCTAGGACACTTGCGCGTAAAGCAAAGTATCCGGGTTCGATTCCCGATCGAGATACTATTTTTCGCAATAAGAATTATTTCCAGATTTAGTATTTTCAGATTATTAGAGTTGTGTTTCAAGACGCATATATTATAGACTTCGTATTCGTATTAGTTATATTTATCGATTTTGTTTTATTATAACAAGATATGAAAGCAATGATGCTTCAATATTCTTAAAACAAAATATGCAGTATAACGGAGCAATAAATCTGAGTACAGAGATTCGTTATTTTTAGATGTAAGTTGCGAACGTGTGTTTTGTACGAGTCCTAAAATGATGTTACCGAAGAGTTAAGGAAACAAGTTATGACTTATGATAATACATTATTATAATACATATATTCGTACTATGTAATGTTTTTATTTTTTTATTCTTTCGTGTTTTTTCCCAGATAGTGAAACATAAGGAAGCATAGAAGTGGCATGCTTTGTCAATTTATTTGTCACTTCTATATCGCATTTAGTGCAACATGTATAACATACAGAAGATCTCTCGTATGTTTAAAAATCAAGATTTTAGTAATACAATTTTCTCATATGTGTATGGGTGCCTTTCACTTAGTAATACAAGTCGACACAAATATCGTTCTATTTTTCTTTGCATTCCATGAGTAACAAAGACAGAACCATACTTGTGTCGATTTGTGACACATGTGTTACTTCAATAAAAGACACCCTATTAACTCAGTGTGTTATTTCATGCGTTGGTCAATAAACTTTTTAAGCACGTTAATTAACTGCAGGACAGAAAGAGCTGAGAACATTTCTAAATATGTTCTTTAAAATTTTATAAATTGTATTATCAAAATTTTTGATAATCACAAATTATTTGAATCATTAATTATGATTCTATTGAAATTCCATTCCCATTTTTGTTCTTATTTTATATAGTTTATTTCAAATATATCATATTTTTGTTGATGTTATGTACAATACTTATTTCATTTTTTAATAAAGTTTTTTTATTGTTAAATTGAGGCATTTGATTTAAGAGAGAGAGGATATCTAGTCCATAAAGTGATATACATATTTTAGAACTTCTACAAAGTTATTTGATTAAACCTTTGGTTTAGTATCTCCTTGATGACCATATTACTGTGATATTTCACATGTGCAACTGATTTTATTAAAGTTCTAAAATAAGACTGAAAGAAATTAATATACAAACCAATGCAAATTTGAAAAGAATCTAGTACATCTAAACATAATGAAGATACATTATAAAGCAATGAAAATATATTGAGAGAGAGAGAATTCTAGTAGTATTTATTTATCATAAGAATTATTTTTCAATTTAATTGTCACGAACCATCGCGTGTTGCAAAGATTTGTATATATTTTAATGATGATTTATTATAATATAACGATCGCGCTCAGATTTGCACTTATAACTCACAATCTTCTCTTTGTTTTTTAATTAAACAGTTCCGTGAGTGTATGAATATCAGGCAGTAATAATTAACTTAGGAAAATTCCTAAAATTTTTGCATACGTGAGGCGCGGATGGACCGAGCCATCCGACTGACGCTTCAATATTAACTCACAACGACTTTCAATGTTTGTAAGTGTTATTAGTTCTTGTTTAATTTTAATAAACAATAAAGATGAAATAATTTCGAACACGTGAATAGGTCGTGGTCGATAAAAGAAATTCATGCTCGATTCAGACTCGAAATATTTATTTAACATATGTAAATAAATGATTGTAGTTTTTATATAACATGTGTACTTGAACGGATTACGAATAAGATTTGACTTATAATTGTTACAAATAACATTTTTGTTACATTTTATGTTATGTTTTTAAAATGTTTCATGCCACCTGTACCAGCGATAATACATACTAGGCTTTCCGTTCGAGCTACATGTATCATCGGTAGTATACGTTGATATATTAATTTAATGTGCTCAAAATATTTACTTTATATTATATTAATAATTTTTTAAGATAAATACGAATAAAAATATCGTGGATCACTGAGGGCGTGGCAAAATGATTCAGTCCATGTAAAATTGGCGTGGCACAGAACGTGTTAAAATTTTAACACATTGAACGTCAACCAATGTTTATAGGTGTACCGCAGGAGCTGAAGCTCGAAATTATCCAATGTTTGAAAATTATTATTTTTTATGCAATTTGAGAACCTTATATAGAGATAATTATTTTAGTATATTACACTGGAAATCACGGAAATTTGTGGCACACGGTGTATGTCGTCGACTACCGTGAGAGAGTAGTCAATGTTACACGGTATGTGTCGCCGGTGCTCAACATGTTAATTATGATAAAATTGCCAGTGGCAATATTTAATTTTTTCTACTGAATCATTTTCTGTATCGCGAATGAAAAATACATACAGTGTCATAAGATGAACGCAGTAAATTTAAACATAAAATTATATAAAGTTTTTCAAGATTTTTGTTAGAAGTTACGAATGATGAAAAATTGACAAATCCTTTATAGCAATATAATATTAGAATTTTTTACTATACAACTGATTATTAACAGCATTAGTTTAATGACAATTATTGTCATTAAAATTATCAAATCTAACACAAAAGTTTTACACCTGAGAAACAACATGAAAAATAATTATAACATTTAATTTATCGTTCTTTTACCATTTTTTTATGTCTCAAGACGAATAAAATTGTGTATTAAATAATTAATTATTATATAAAAGTGAAATAATAAATCAAAGAAGTATTATATAAAACGAAGAAAATTAAAATCGACCAAATAGGAGTCAGCGTGGTAAATCGTGCGCAAATTAATAGAATAAATATTAATTAACGATTGAAATTTCACATAATCACAGTCGAAAATATTAAAAATCGATTTAATTATGTGAAATTTCAATCGTTTATGTAATTACGTATTATATAACTTAATAAATATTTATTCTATTAATTTGCGCACGACTTACGCGCTGACTCCTATTTTAATTTTCTTCGTTTTATTATATAAGAAGTCCGTTATTAATTATTGTATTATATAAAAGTATTATATGTATAAATAAAAAAAAAAATTAAATGATTCATTTTTTCAATTTAAATTTCTATTAAATAGTAGATTTTAATTTTTTCTGTTAAAATCATATATAAAATATTTTTATCGTAGTAGTTATTTGTGCAATAAAAAATTCAATATTAACTGTGAATGCAATGTCGATCGATGCGCGATAACTCGAGCTGAGCATGTGGACTTTTTGCAATATACTGGCTGTTTGCGATCGGTTATCATTAAAAAATAATTGTGATTTCGAGATTTTTCTGTTAGAATTTTTTATTCTACCTTTATGTTAAAATACTCTTTCAGAAACTATTATGATTGTGAGACACCCTGTACATACCTTTTTTTATTTGTTTATATCTTCTACAGTTTGTTTTAAATAATGCGAATTGTATCGAACAAGCGATCATCTATTGATACGCATTATTTAAAACATACGTATCAGAAAAGTAATGCAATTCGTAATACTGAGTTACAACGTTTGTAAAATTATCGGTTAACTAGCACCCGTTTCGACGCTGATTTCAACGTCGCCCGCGATATGCACGCACGAGATTGCACATTATTTGGTTCAGTACAAACCTGTGTACCCTTTTGAATGTAATTATAATCCCCCGCTTGACAGTACTTCCGCGCTTGCGATACAACGTACGAGATAAAACAAGAAAAACTAGGCCAAACAAAAGGGTACCAGCGTCTTATCGTAATGCCGCCAGGATTTAAAAAGGAGTCTCCGTTTTGCGGTATCAGTGATTTAGTTGCTGCGACCATTGTTCGTAGTTTTAATGCAAAGTCTGCACGAATCAATTCCTTGCTTATAACGATATTAAGTATGAGTAAGATGTTACTGAATGTAGTGTCGAAACAAATCTTTATTCTTGTTATATTGCGGTATTCTGTTTGTTCGCAACAATGGGACAGCGGTTTGCGTCAAAGATACGATGGCTACGGAGAGGATTGGATTTTTATGCCTGACGGCAATGGACAGCCTCAAGTAGCAGTGTTAAAGGTCCAAGACAACGAAAGGAGAGGCATATTAGATTCAGAAATAGCTTACATAATTTACACTCGGTATCCAATTACAAGTTCTAATATGTGTATATTAATTATAGCAAAATACTACCGCGTCTAATATTCTTTCGTTATTCATTTAATCATTCATTTAATTATACAGTTTCCGTAATATTTTTAAGATCTAATCCGGAAAAAGGCACACGAGTGACTCTAAATAATACCTCGAATCTTGCTGGCTCCGACTTCAAATCCTCACGAAAAACGAAATTCATAACGCATGGATGGAAATCGAGCGCTTTGAGTTCCGCGCTTCTCAACATGAAAGAAGGTCGCTTGTTTTTCTATTTGTTCGCGAGTTAGATCTTAATTCATTAGCGAAACGAATAATTTGCACTCTTTCGAGCAGCTTTTCTCACTCACGGCGATTACAACGTCATTCTTGTGGATTGGGAACCGTTGGCTGCGAGCACATTTTACTTGGGACCGATGTATAACACCGTAAACGTCGGGACTAATGCCGCTAACTTTATAGACTTTTTAGTGAGAGAAACTGGACTGAAAACGGAAGATGTTCATTTTATCGGTACATTGTCTTGTATAATACAATATTATTACTTGTAATCGCAATTTCATGGACTGTTGATTAATAAGGTCATTCCCTTGGTGCACACGTGGCTGGGAACGCGGGCGGTGCGACGACTTCTGGGAAATTGAGCAGAGTAACAGGTTTGGATCCAGCGTTGCCGGGATTCCACATACTCGCCTCTGAGAAAACTCGCTTGGATCCTACAGATGCAGTATTCGTCGACGTCATACACTCCTGCGGTGGTGTGTTAGGCTATCTTCAACCGCTTGGAAAAGCAGACTTTTATCCAAATGCTGGTACAGCGATTCAACCTGGATGCTGCTGCGTCCCTGAGATAATGGGTAAAGTAATACCATCATTAGCACAGATCTTTGTAACAGAAACATTCTATTTCTTTCATTTATTTTAGAGGCTTGCAGTCATGGGCGGTCATATGCATACTTCACGGAAAGTATAAATTCGAAAACAGGACTAGCGGCTAAGAAATGCGACAACTGGAATTCATACATAAGCGGCAAATGTACCAATTCGCAAGTAGTGTTCATGGGAGAGCATGTTGAACAGACTGTCGAGGGTCTATTTTTTCTTAAAACGAGATCGAATCCGCCTTACGCGCATGTATCAGAAGTAACCGACAATAATGTTTAAATGAAAATTATGTACAAGCAATCATATCTTTTCAAGATACGTATTTCGAAATAATTCCTGTTACCTTGGATTTCACTTGTGGATAATAGCGAAAATAACAAATATAAAATATCTAGCTTTAATAAATAGTAATTACATTATTATACATATGACTGAGATATAATAAACATAGCGATGAACCAACCATTTCTGGATATTATAATCTTCTTCTACTTTGTCTCAAAAAAGCTTGTAAAAATCTTACGCATCAATATCGCGTCTGGGCTTCTGTGTTATTTATAATTTAAAAAATGTACAGCACCAACAAACACGGGAATGATTAAATTTAGATCGGTTTGTAAAGCAAAGTTGTAACATATTTTTTGCGATAACGATGTGTGGCTGATAGGACCATCACGCTGTCTTTAATGCTCAAAGCATAAAGATGGTTCAGCATAACATGATTTGGTTCAGGTAGAAGAGTAGGCTCACACTGAAAAAAATATAATACGTGAGATGAAGTTTCATTGAATTTTTATCGAAATATATATATTGATTATTTAACTTACGGATAACGGCGTGTCCTTGTTAAGGATAACTTGTAGCAGATGTGGCGGTAAGATAGGTGGCCCAGTTATTTTCTCCCAAGGTTTGTGTGGTGGTATTTCTTGTCCATATTCCATTTGAGTGCTATTCGTAACACCTTCACTGTCTTTTGCAAGAGCTTGAAATACTTCAAAATCAGATTTCCTTACAGAGACTAAATTGTTCTTCGAACCCATGCCATTGTCTACAATTTTCTATAATATTAAAACAACAATATCTGAATTTAATATGTAACAATAATATATGAAGTACAGATGTGTTATAAATAATATACATAAAACTGTTAAATAAAATATAATACTTACCAGTCCAGGATCGTGTCTCCATTCTCCATCAACAAAAAATTTATACTGATGTTCTCCTTCTGGTAGATCAATTATCGTGACAAAATCTCCATGGCTCTTTACCATTGGTAACGTTTTCCATCCAGTAAATGTCCCGCTAATATATACCTGCTTTCCACCTCCTTCCCATTTGAAAACAGTTGGTAACACCTTACTGTCTGCAACTTTTGTACCCTCAGACACCGTGTTAGATCTCGGACGCTGTGATCCAAAGTCTTCTCCATCCTGTTGGCCGCTCTATTTATATCCAAATAGAATTACACTAGAATATTTTTATATGCATGTAAATGTTATATTTCTCGATATATCTCAATATTACTTTTGAAAAGTACGATTCTTCTTCTTCATGGGAGGACTGAAATACAAGCTTCTGGCTGGGTTTTTTGTCAAAGACGAACGCCTGGCCTTCCTTTCCTGGGGAGGGTGGAGGATGATCTTTGCTGTGTCGATGCTCTCTGCTCACTGTAGCGCCGTGATGATGACCGACAGGTTGATTGCTTCCCGCATTACCCATTATTGCGTTTAAGTCCTTGATAAATGTAAAAAGGATATGATATTTTACTTTCTTCTGCACAAATAATTTTAAAACAAGTAAATTAATTATTACGCAGTAAGCATGAATATTTCGTAGGTTAACAAAAAACTGATGTAAAATTCATACTTTGCAACAATGTCACCTGGTGCTCCGATATACATCAACGACGAATCGAGAATGTAAACATTCGTTGGTGACGTTAAAGCTAGGTCGGTCCTTCGATCTCGAAAAGATTCCAATGTGATTCTATTCTTACAAATGTTTAGATCGTTTGCGAGAAATGAGGATTACAACTTTTTTATTGTAGATGTATACAACACACTTATCATGTCACAAGACTTTTTATCACTAAAATAGTTACATGTAGGAATAAGATACTGCAGAAATTCGCATTACCGACAGCATCAGATATTGATATCGTAAGTCGATAAAATAGGTAATTTCAGCCACTCTTATCATGTAATCTCTCGATAGTCGGTTAGTAATGATGGAGATCAATTTACAATTGATCGCGAAATGGAACGAAATCTGATAAGTTTGGAAAAGTACACACATTTGTTCGAAATTTATTCGCATAATATTTTATATAATATAAAATCTTCCATATATTGACAATAAAACTGTTTTTATAGTTACTTTTTTCACATTTATATCAAAATCCAAATAATTCTGATTTGTGACATCATAATTCAATTGAATGCACGTTCCTTTTTATTCTAACAAATGAACCTACAGTCAAGTTCGAGACCGTGCTTTACTGAATTTTTTAACTTACATTAAAAATCTACGTTAATATAATACAATAACGTTATCACCAAAATGAGCAATTAAGTAGTGATGGCATTATCTGAGTATAAAATACTTACATAATTTTAAATTTGAGTCACTTGTGTGAAAATAGAAAGCAACTATATTGAAAGCAAGAAGCATCAAATCGTTAATTATAATATTTTGATTTCGCGCGCATGCGTAGTCGCCATGACAGTTTCGCGCCGCGGCGATCGTGCGGTCGCATTTCGTCGCGCTCTTTGCGATTTTCTCGTTTTTCGTATTGCCGAGTTCGAGTTTCGCGTCCATATAGTGGCCAGAAACATCAAATAGACTACCCCACAATCGCACATCGTATCGGTTCGACGATCGCGACCAAGTCTCGTCGCAGAACAGCATCAAGAAGCTACCGGTTAAATTTTTCGCGACCAAGCTACCGCAAACGACAAACTTATCATGCACGCGCATGCGCGGCCATGACAGTTTCCACCCCGCGTCGCAATAATTCGTAATCGGCGCGAGAAGTGCTCTCATGTATTTCCTCGTGAATTACGCGTTTGAATGTCGAGCTTGTAAATAAGGAGCTAAATACACAGAAACGTCAAGTACTAGTTGATCGTCGAGACGTTTTAATTCGCGTCGCGTCGCGTCGTTACGTAGCGCTAAACAAAATGTCGAGAGTGCCGAACTATCGTATTTGTGTAAATAATTGCTATTGTATATGCCGATACGTGCCGTTTTTGTAACTTCGCAAAAATAGACGTACTGGAATGTAGCTTTAGTACGATCTAGTTTTATGTCGCCTGCTTATGTTTATATTTTCGATTAGTCGTTGATGAGAGAGAGAGAGAGAGAGAGATATCGCAGTATCAGGTGAGATGATTACAAACAAGCGAATAATTTTAGAAGTAGATATAGACTACGGTCTACCTTGTCTCTTATAGAAATTTAATACTATTACTGGATAATTAATTATTACTCATTAATTTGAGTATTAAGAAGGTATCTTAAAATAAGTAGATATCTTTATAAAGTAATTAAAATAGTATCTTGCATAGATAATAGAGTTAATCACTTATTTTGAGTACTATAAGTACTGTTAATACTTTCAAAAGAAGTTATTAATTGACAGGTGCTAGTATTAAATAAGAGGCGTTCCACTTAACAATTGTCACGTTCATAAAATTAATTATTTTGTTCTTGTTGTTTAACGAATGTTAAACAAGGGTAAATAATCCTCGCGAACGTTGTGAGTTGAAAGTGAAACGTATTCTTGGTATTGCAAACATATTGCAGTGTTTTTTTTTTTTTATTGATTAATTAGTAAAATTCTTTCTTTCGATTGAACAATTAAATGCTTCGAAGTATTTCTAACTTATGTGGACCGCAATGAATTTTACATCGATTAGATTAAGTAATAACTTGAGCTATAAAATGTAATTATTACAATTATTTTTAGCACGATGACCAGAAAACACGAGTGGCAGAGCGACAGAGTGGCGTCAGCGAGTGGTGAGTGCATCTTATTTTACGTATTAATTATATAATTAATTGTTTATTTATTCGAGTGTTTTACGACGCGACCACATCCGGTTTTTTTTTAATGTAAGGATGTTATATAGAAGATTAAGGGCGGTATTCATAGTCCGTTTCTTATTTTAAGACCGTCTTAAGTAGTGTCTTAAGATGATAATGCACAGTCCTCTGATTAGCTTATGACATCTTAAGACATTCTCAAATATAAGAATCGACTATAAATATCGGACTAAGTACTTAAACATTTTTTACATTAAGAAAAACATTTAATAAATTTTAATAAATATTTCTTTGAATATTTCCAGCAGAATATTTACTAAATGTAAACACACATATTTATTAGATACAAGAAGCATCAATTTGTGTGATTCAACTATAATTTTTCTCACTTATCTAAATATTTATTTACCGTAAGTAAATATTCCGCTAGAATATTTAAAGAAATATTTATTAAAATTTAATACATTTTTTCTCAGTGTACATACATATATCACATTGATGCCACTTGTACTTGGCAAGTGCGTCGCTATTGTGGCGCCAGATCGCAGCACGGTTAGTATTCTCGCGTGCATTGTAAAAATTAATTTACTGACATGATCCGACGAACGCAAATTGGGGTGATCGCTTGAGCTTGTTCATTAAAAAAAAATTATTACAAACTGTTATCTTGTGCATCGTGATGAATTTGATTGAACTGAATTGGACTCCGTTTTTTTTTCCGCGTTTCTCTACAAAGTTATCGAAATCCGTTTTTCAACGTGAGGAATGTTGTTTATGGTAAAGTTACCGGTAGATATATCGGCCGTCATGCTCTTCTTCGTTGCATATTTTTACTATCCCCTCCGTTTCGCTTCTCCCCCCTCGCTCAATTTTATTTCTTCCCCTTATCCTGCCTTCCCTCTCTCCCGTCAACTTTTTCGCCTGTTTCTTCTGCGCGAATTTATTATTTATAAAGGCGAAAGCACACCCCGGGCATGTTTCGTCCTTCATAGCCGGCGGCTACGCGAAATCGAGCGCTTATATCTCGTGGCTCGTGTTACTCGCTCCACGCGGCCGCGAGGTCGGTCTCGGAGGGGTGGACCGCGGGTTTTTACGTGCCCCCGTGTATTAAATATCCTGCAATAACAGTAATTACGGTTACGGTGCTTTGCGAAATTGCGCGGCTACCTCACCGCGGCCGCCTGCGCGGCCTGCGGCCGGGCCCGCGAATGCGAATGCGATCTTCTTATGGGCGGCGGATATCACGTGGACAGTGTACGCCGATTCCGGAGCGAATCGAGCACTCGATCCCCGAACCTCGAGTAACCGCAACCTGCTCATTTATCCTTTCCTCTTCGACGGTGGTAATCGCGAAGGGAATAGACGCGACGCGCGAAAGTATCCCCCCGCGCGTACCCACCTCTGATGTAATTACCTTTAAATGCACGGTGTTATGTTTTAAATTAGGAGATACGTCGAAGTTGTAGAGCCGCTTTTACAGGGAGAACGCACGTACCGAATCGTAATTAAATTATTATTATACATCATATAATTGTGTCTTCGAGAAAGAGACACGGGAATTTAAATTCGAATCAAATTGAATCGAATCATAGTGGATTCGTCTACGAATCCGAGAGATTCGAAATCGAATAATTTCTAATTATTCGCTTATTTTATTTGCCTCATTTATTTACGATTCTCGTAAATTGAAAATTATTATTTATTTTTTCATTTATTTAAAAATATTGAAGATACCTTATTATTTTTCTCAAATAGTTTTTAATGCAAATCCGGGCAAATTTGATTTAAATTTGATTTGTTTTCGAATCAAAAAGATTCTCGATTCGATTCGAACTCACAAATGTGATTCGCACATCTCTATATTCTGCGAATTATAAAAGCGTCTTATTATTGCTTCGATATCTTTTTTATTTGATTATTAGAAATGTAAAAATGATTTGACTCCATTGACAATGTGATAGACACTGGGCTTTTTGCTCAGTGACGATAAGTCGCTAACGTTTCACTTATCGAGATAGTATGAATTTCATTTAGCGCAGCATGCGGTGTATATTGATTATTAAATGTATTCCTTTATTTAATGATGCTGATTAGATTAGTGTAAAAGGTTTGGATGATATCTAAAGTGGGAACATCTGTTCATGGTTTCTGGCAATTGCGTGTTCGTCGTTATATTCCGTATGCTTTGCGCGATTAATTCTTATCTCGATTCTCGATAGATGTATTTACTTAAAGAACTCGGATTATATATAGAAATCTGTTAAAAATGTAACAGTAATTACTCATCATTAATTTTATCAGGAGACATTTATTTCAAGAGTGAGCCTGAAGTCTAAATTAAAAAAATAATTTTATGTTATATTTTTTTGCGTGTGTGTTGTATCGATCATATTAAACTCTATATGATTTTATATATTCTAGGGATAGGCTTCGTAGCGACATTATTGCTTCGCCTTTTGAACGTATTTTTTTTTGCATTAGCACGGCTAATATCTTTATACATATATTATTCATTTATTGATTGAATTAAAAAGTTATTATCGTTTCAAGAGAGAGAGAGAAAGAGAGCTGCAAGACATCTTCAAAATTAAATTGGCTTTTATTCACTTTCGACGTATTTTAATTGCGCATTATAAAATCGATCGACCTTGCCATGTATATCAACTGACGGAAGAGAGTAAATTCGTGACGGGTCCCGAAAGTCGTCTAGGCCAGATGTCGAGCGTTCAAAGATAAAAAAATACCAAAGCGTATTCGAAGAAAGAGAGAGAGAGGAAAAAAGGAGAACCAAGACAGGGGAGGGTGGCGAGAGGGAAAAGGATCGGCGAGAGGCGGTGTGTGCATGTGCTTAATCGATAATCACCGGCAAGTGGTTTCGTCCGAAAAGGGTGCGGTGGATACATCTGCGAGGTATCATCAGCGCCGCGTACAAAAGGCCGATCCATCATCGGGCCGACAATCCAAATTCAAAATTGGCCGGCCACAATTCCCAGCGACCGCGCGTGCAATTACAATGGAGATTAAGAACAATCCA